TTTTTTTTTCTTTACAGTACACTTATCCCTCCAGGAACCCATGGAGACCAATGTTTAAGAAAGTCCTTCTTAAATCAGCACTCAACTAGCTCTATGCCTGGAGTATTCTCCTGTTTGTCAATACCTTCCCTCCTTTTTTCTCCCAATCCAGTTATTAAAATCCATACCCAGAAGGTGACTTAATCTTTTATTCTCAGTGATGCTGAGTGTTTGAAGTAGCAATGGTTTTAGGATAAAGTTTGTTTATCCTGGAACATCCTTTGTGTTTCTCACCTGGTGGGAAGGGAGTCTCTTGGCATCAAATTTATGCTACAAAAGGTAACCTAATACCCAAGAGAATGACTTGGGTATTTGCATTTAATATGTGTTCCAACCTGAGGAAAGTGAGAAGCTAGAAAGTGCTGCCCATTTGAATTATGAGCCACTAATTTTAAATTTTCTAATAGTCACATTAAAGGACAAGTGACATTAATTTTAGTAATATATTTCATTTCTACTGCTTATCCTAAATATTATTATTTCAACATGGGCATTTTACATTTTTTATACTAATCTTTGAATGTCAGTATGTATTTTATGGCTTTTAGTACATCTGAAATCAATGGTAAATTCTTAAAGATTAAAGATAAATGTCCTTTCAAAACAATGAAGTTGTGATTAGTGGTGGTTAGTAGCTTTTATATCAAAATTAATTGAAATAAATTCAAAATTCAGTCACCCTTGTCACATTTTAATAGCCAAATATGTCCAGCTGCTACTATGGACAGCAATGGTCTAGAATTCCCAATCAAACGATCTTTTAAATCTCCTTCATCTTTGATGCAAAGAAAGAATCTGGAGGATCCAGGATTATGGAAAGAAAGAGAAGAGATGGGCGGGCCTGAGAGAAGTTAAGGAAAACCAGCATAAAGAAACTGTCAGACATCCACGGAATGGTTTCTCTCCACTGAGCTGTGACCCAGAGAAACAATAAACAAAGATAGCACATCATCCCTGGGCTCTAATTGTGTTTTCATTGCTATTGTGTAAAGTTGGGTCTCTCTGATGGAGGGTTTGAGGAAATTATTTAGCATAACTATGAAGTGATGTCATATTTCCATTTCACAAAAGCCTTCAATTTGGACTTAAAATCTTGATCAAAGCAGAGATTTTTATCATCTTGGCAAAACAAAAAGAGGAAGAAATGTGTGGGACAGACAGAAAGACAGAAAGAGAGAGACTAGTGCCTTCAAATGACACCCTCAGACTGCTGCCCAAGGTGTTTCTGAGAAGGCCGGCCTTGGTTGCCTGTTCACTATTACAGTTGCCAGGAATCAGAGATGCTTCCCTCAGCATTCTGTGCACTTATTTATTGTCTTCTCAAACTTCTCAGTTTCATCCATTAGTTATTAGAAGCCTGAATCTTTTCAGCAGTTGGAATGGACTATTAGGAATAAATGGAAAGTTCCCTCTTTTCCTTGATAGAGACCAAAGAAGAAATGTAGAAAACCAAATGCTTAAAAGTGAAGGAAATATTTCAAAATTTTAAACCAAAGACACTATTTTAACTAAGATTTGCTAAATATTAACTGATATAATAAACGCTGAAAGAAGCAATGTTATCCATTGGTAAGGGAACCTCCAGTGGGGACTGTAGACCCTCTGCAGTCCTTGTGTTTCACAGCTTCATCTACCAGCTAGAGCCCTTGAGGGAGGCATCTTTCCAGACCTGGAAAATTTGCATGATAAAAGATCCCACATTCTTCTTCTTTCAAAAGAGGGCCAAAGTTTGTTTACTATGCTTAGTTGTATATTCTTTGAAAGATTCGTCCAGTTGCTACACTTCCTCATTCTGGTGAACTTTCCAGGATTTTATCTGGGTATGAACAGCAGTCAACCAACAGTGTCTAGAGCAAAGCATCAGTAGAGAGAAAAGCACCTCAGTCTGTTCTCTGGGAAGGAAACAACCAGTTCAGATCCAGTCAGCAAGTATCACCCTAAAATTGAAAACAAGCAACAGTCACAATAATCAGTGAGATTTTATTTTCAAGTATTTCACTAGAGAGAAGGAACTAAACCTAACAAATCAAAAATTGTAAAGACTTCATTTGAAACAGTTAAGAAATAGATATCCTGGGGTAGTTACTGGTTATCCCTTAAAATCAGATTCTCTCTTTTCCAATTAAATCTTTCTTTGCTTTTCTTCCTCTGTTTCTTTTATCCTCCACTTTTTTTTTTCTAGAAGTCCTGTTGCCGATTATATACTTTGTTCTTCCAAGGAATCTTCCTGAAACTTAAGTTCTCTCTCTCTCTCTCTCTCTCCCCCCCACACCCCTCCCTTTAGTGCTAACAATCAAACCCAGGGCCTTCTGCACTCTGGGCAAATGCTATACTACTGTCCCCAGCCTCTTTCCTTTAAAAACTACCTTTCATATAATATATTTTTGTTGACTTGCTGTGTCTTTCCCCTTCCTAATAAAATGACATTTTTCTGTTTAAGTGTTCATCATTTCAATTAGGCAACACATCTATTTCAGGAGAAGTCAGCTTTATACCCACTTTGTTGCTACTACCTAAGCATAGGGTCTTATTTCCAGTTTAAAAACATTCCTTTGAAAGTCATAATCTACATAAGGTATCCCCAGACCACAGTCATTGGTTCTGGCATGTTGATTTTATTTTTTAAAATACACGACAGTGGAATGCATTACAATTCTTATTACACATATAGAGTACAACTTTTCATATCTTTGTATAGAGTAGGTTCATGTCAATTCATGGCTCTATATGTGTACCTTTTTTGCATTATAATTTTTAATACACAAATATACCACATTTTTTCATATCTCTGTTTACATATAAAGTATGTTGACACCCAATTCAATTCTTCATACATGAACTTTGGATAATGATGTCCATCACATTCCGCCACCCTTGCTAATCCCCTGCCCCCTCCCTTCCCTATCTAGAATTCATCTAATCCTCCCATGCTCCCCCTCCCTGCCCCATTATGAATCATCCTCCTTATATCAGAGAAAACATTCAGCGTTTGTTTTTTGGGGATTGGCTAACTTCACTTAGCATTATCTTCTCCATCACCATCCATTTACCTGCAAATGCCATGATTTTATTCTCTTTTAATGCTGAGTAAAATTCCATTGTGTATATATGCCACATTTTTTTTATTCATTCATCCACTGAAGGGCATCTAGGTTGGCTCCACAGTTTAGCTATAGTCAATTGTGCTGCTATAAACATTGATGTGGCTGTGTCCCTGTAGTATGCTGTTTTTAAGTCCTTTGGGTATAGTCCTAGGAGAGAGATAGCTGGGTCAAATGGTGGTTCCATTCCCAGATTTCCAAAGAATCTCCATACTGCTTTCCATATTGGATGTACCAGTGTTGCAGTAATTCACTTGCAGGTCAGCATGGGAAAAGAAAGAAAAAGAAGAAGCAGAGCAAGCAAAGCAGCAGCAGAAAAAAAAGTCCTTTATTGTGTAC